GCATTATGCAAATATTTTCACATGTGACGTAGGTATGTGGGGGCGTGTTAGAACGAGCCGTTTTAGGTAGGCGTGGTTAACTCTTAACTTTTATAAAGAATATCTCTTTGGATTTGAGACTTTAGTCTTTGCAACTTTAGGGATCTTATCTATTCACAAACAGCTTGTAACACTCCAAAGAGAAAGGAAAACTTGAAATCGCATCATATGACCCCTTTAAATAATTCCCAAAAACTACAAGAAGTGAGTAAATATGAGTACAAGAATATGAGCATGTAACGTAGTTTGTAGTCACGGGAAGAAGGAGGCGGGAACCGGCGAACCTTCAAATAAACTTTAATAATAAACAAACACAAAATAGCGCGACAGCCCCTCACGGACGACTGTCGCGCACAAACAAAACCAAAACACAAAATAAAATCCAGGCCTGGTCCTCTCTCGTCTTTCCCTGTCGTCACTCCTCCTTTATATCCTTCCGGAGCTCCTCCGTGAGACTCGAGACCGGTGAGTGGTGCAGGTGTCGCTCATTATCCATTAACTCCACCGGCCTCGCTCCGTTCCCACGGCTCTCGACCCCGCCCCCCTCGTCACAGAGCATCTACAAGTATTTCCTCTTATTCACCCAAGACCTTTTCCTTGTGTATTTATGGGGTGGTTATTAAAATATTATTAAGTACAGTTGAAATTATAGTTTAAATATTTATATTCATTTAGCTTAAACTAGCCATATTGGGCTCTCACATGAAAGAAGCCACCCAGCTCTTCCTCAGAGCCTGTTTCAAAATATCTGTCTGGAAAAAATGGGGGGAAAAAGAGAACCTTCACAAGTGGAAGGCTATCAGTACTTTTTAAATGGCGCACAGCTGCAGATTCTGAAACATCTTCATGCACCTGATTCATGCATTTGTGAAAAAGCATCTCAGATAACATATAAAATTTGCAATCTTGATGTGTTCCTCTTAATGTTAGCTAAGAGAAAATATCTTTCTGGTACACTGCCATTTAGTGAGCAATTCATCATAAGTGTCATTACATGCTCATATTTGAGCGACACCATATAGTAAGATAAATATGAGTTGTCTGGCAACTAAGAGGTTTCAGCATATAAAACTGGTTTAAAGCCAAGCTAATGTGAGTTATATATTTTGAGTGAGTTAGAGCTGAATCATGAGGTCACAATTTCTTACTTTAGTATCCCGTTACATGTAGCATTTACTCACACTAAATATGTTGTGCAATTCTGGCAAGAAAATAGTGAATCGAAAGTACTTAATCCCACGTTGTAAAACCCAATGATAATAAAAACTGTTGCTTTGCATTAGAGTTAGTTGTGTTTCTCCTTTCATGTTAAAACAGAAAGCAGTAGTACATACGAATAAGAAAAACGCATACAAGGCATGACAATTCAAGGCAGAGATAGGCCATTTAAAAGCTTATGTTTGAAAAATCTCATTAAATGTATAGTATATAAAATACAAAAATGCAATAAAATTATCGCACAGCATAGACTGCATTGGAAAATTTTAGTAAAAAAAAATTAATTAATTAACAACTGGATATTGAATTGATGTGGGTGTTCTTACCTCAGTGAAAGTTTGCTCGAAAAACTAGTTAGCGCAATCAGTGTTTGAGGAAACACCACTGCACAGTAATTTGTGAATATGTCCAGCAGAGACCGAGTATGAGTGTTAGGTCATGTTCAGATTGCAGGCAAATAAATAAGTGACGGGTTCATTGACATCACTTCCAGCTGTTCTTCCTCTCTCTGAACCCTTTTCTCCCCTTTTTTCGTAACGTGATCATTAAGTGTCTTCTTTACAGACAAAGAGAAGACAAACAGGAAGAGGGAGGAGACAGATGAACAAACACAGAAACATAAATACATAGTGTGTTTACTCTATTATGCCTCTGAAGGAATTTAAGGGAAAATTTGCTTAAAAAAAAATCTCACCCTCAGGCCATCCAGGATGTATCTGAATTTGTTTCTTCTTTGGAAAAGATTTGGAGAAATTTAGCATTAAAATCACTTGCTCACCAATGAATCATTTGCAGTGAATGGGTGCCGTCAGAATGAGAGTCCAAACAGCTGATAAAAAACACTACACAACTCCAGTCCATCAATTAACATCTTGTGAACAAAAAAAAAAGTGTTTGTATGAAAGAAAAGCATCATTAAAGCGTTTTAACTTTAAACTGTGGAATAAACCAAAATACCAGCCCATAATCCATAATAACATTGTCTTTAGTGAAAAAGTCCATCGCCTGTTGTCCTGTATCAAAACCCAAAACCCTCTCCTGATTCAAACGAGACAACTTTTTCACTGGAGAAAGCAATACTATGGATAGAGAACCTGTATTTTAGCCAGAAACAACAGTCTGAATTGAAAAACGTCTTAATGATGAACTTGTTTATTACAAACACACAGATTGTGGATTACTTACATTACTTGTGAATTTTCATCACAATATCCATAGGATATTCCATTGGATCTAAAGTATCCATTAGTGAGCAAGTAATGCTAAATTTCTCCAAATCTGTTCCGATGAAGGAAAAAACTCATCTACATCTTGGATGGCCTGAGGGTGAGTAAATTTTCAGTGGTGGAAATTTTTGGGTGGACTGTACCTTTAAAGCATATGATGTATATAATTATATTCCTGTCGATAAAGCATACAGTGTGACTGTACATCAAAACATAATTTTCGTTTCTGAATTTTGAAAGTAAAGAATGAATAATATGCTAATACTGATAGTAATACTAATAACAATGATTGTTACAAGTGTGCAGAATGTTTCATATGTAAGGACTGTATTTAACAGTATCTATTCAAGGTCTTTTGGTCTATTTAGCATACACCAATATTTGCATATAATTTCCATGTCTGGTTCTCTTTGTCAGTGTGCCTTATTTTGTTTGTTTTTGCTTACATCCTGATACAAATTCCCCATGGATTTTGTTTTCAATCAGTTAAAATAAAAATGAAGTGGTTTCCAACCTCATATCAGATATACACCGATCAGGAATAACATTATGACCACCTACCTAATATTGTGTTGGTCCCCCTTTTGCTGCCAAAACAGCCCTGACCCGTTGAGGCATGGACTCCACTAGACCCCTGAAGGTGTGCTGTGGTATCTGGCACCAAGATGTTAGCAGCAGATCCTTTAAAGGGTTAGTTCACCCAAAAATGAAAATTAGGCTACGTTTACTCACCCCCGAGGCATCCTATATGACTTTCTTCTTTCAGACGAATCCAGTCAGAGTTATATTAAAAATTGTCTTTGATCTTTCAAGCTGTTTAATGGCACTCAGTGGGTGTTGCATTGCTTCAGTCCAAAAGAACTTAAATAAAAATCGCCCATCCATAAAAAAAAGTGTCTCACACGGCTCCGGGGGGTGAACAAAGGCCTTCTGTAGCGAATCGATGCGTTTTTGTAAGAAAAATATCCATATTCAAAAAGTAATAATCACTTTAATCTAGCTTGCACTCACTGTTGTACACTGGAAGCAGTTCCGGGCGGATGACATATGAGGTCGACTTTGCGCATGCGCCGCTCAGAAGTACGCAGAAGCGCAGGTGAGAGATCAAAACAAAACAACGGTCAAGAATTAGAAGTACAAAACGAGGATTTGTAAAGAAGAATGTTAGAGGATTTCGATATAAGCCAAGAGGAGACTGGTTTTCCTTTGCTAAAGTAAGGAAACTTTGCTTCCTTTGATCCTGTAAACAAACGTTGGTTTTCACGAGACTCACCGGTGCATGCGCAACGCTGACCTCATACGTCATGCTCCTGGAACTGCTTCTGTGTACAACTGTTGGCGCAAGCTACATTAAAGTGATTATTACGTTTTGAATATGGATATTTTTCTTACAAAAACGCATGGCAGGACCCAAGGTTTCCCAGCAGAACATTGCCCAAAGCTTCACACTGCCTCCGCCGGCTTGCCTTCTTCCCATAGTGCATCCTGGTGCCATGTGTTCCACAGGTAAGCAACACACACGCACCCGGCCATCCACGTGATGTAAAAGAAAACGTGATTCATCAGACCAGGCCACCTTCTTCCATTGCTCCGTGGTCCAGTTCTGATGCTCACGTGCCCACTGTTGGCACTTTCGGTGATGGACAGGGGTCAGGGCACCCTGACTGGTCTGCGGCTATGCAGCCCCATACACAACAAACTGTGATGCACTGTGTATTCTGACACTTTTCCATCAGAACCAGCATTAACTTCCTGAGCAGTTTGAGCTACAGTAGCTTGTCTGTTGGATCGGACCACACAGGCCAGCCTTCGCTCCCCACGTGCATCAATGAGCCTTGACCGCCCATGACCCTGTCACCAGTTCACCGCTGTTCCTTCCTTGGACCACTTTTGATAGATACTGACCACTAGAGACCGGGAACACCAAAATGTTCACTTGCTGCCTAATATATCCCACCCACTAACAGGTGCTTAAACAGGCACTGAAAAACGATTGTGATGTTTTGTTGTTAAGCGTTTGTTTTTGGTGAAAGTGGTTTCATCTTTTTAACTGTGCTGCCACCTAATGCTGAGATACAGTATGACAGAACAACAACAAAAATCTGAGGTCAGACAATCAGAAAAATGTGGATGATAATAGATAGTTATATGGTTTAATGTCAAAATTAATTGATTTTCGCAATGTGAAATGTAAGAAATAATAACGTAAATGAAAAAAATGTCAAATTAAGCTATGATGTCCTGAAAGTTAAGACTAGTAATACAATTATTAAAAAAAAAAAAATTTGTTTTATTACAGTGAAGCTTGAAAATTTGTTTGAAAAATTTATGTCTTTACAGTTTAAGCTCAATGTCAAGTAAATACGGGTGCAAAAATGCATTTGATATGTTAAAGTAAAAATACAGCAACAAGTTTATAAGCAGGAAAGCATATACATATACGTTATATAGCATGTGAACATATGCTGTGTTTTACTTGTGAATACTTAAATGTACATTACACAGCTCTATGGAATACTTGATTCTACTTGAATCAATTACTACCTTTAAAGGCCGTCAAAATGAGCCAGAAATCTCCACATCATTAGCACTTACAAATACCAGTTTTATTCCTATCTACAGTGGGTACGGAAAGTATTCAGACCCCCTTAAATTTTTCACTCTTTGTTATATTGCAGCCATTTGCTAAAATCATTTAAGTTAATTTTTTTTCCTCATTAATGTACACATATATATATATATATTTTAATAATTAACATTTTCCAAGGTATTTTACAAGAGCGGCTGGCCCCACTCTGTGAAATAATCTCCCGACCCGAATTAAAATGACTTCCACTTTATCCGAGTTTAAATCCAGTCTCCAAACTCATTTGTTTGTCTCAGCTTTTAACATGTAATTTTATCCTGTTTTTATTGTCTCTAATTGTTAGTAATTTTGTGTTTCTTTTTTCGGTGTATTTGTATTGTAATTATTGTACATCACTTTGGTCGGCCTGCGGCCGTTATTAAATGTGCTTAGAAATAAACGGAACTTGAACTTGAAGGTGTATGTAAAGTTTTGACCACGACTGTTATATATATAGATATATACTGTATATATACTGTATATATATATATAGAGAGAGAGAGAGAGAGAGAGAGAGAGAGAGAGCGAGAGGTACATGTATAAGGGTAAATGATGAGAAAAATATAGGTAAATGTATACATACATTTTTAAATATATGTATATCAAAGTATATTGCAGAAAATATTTTGTATTTACCCAAAAGTTTAAGATTGGAAATGTATTTTTATGCCCCTTGAAGTACATTTTGCATTTATTTATTGCTGTATGGGTCTGGTGGACACATGCACTAATGTGTTTACTCTCTTCTCAATTGTAAGATGTTCCCCCGCCTATCTTGAGCTCAAATGTTCAGGTGATGGAAGTTCTAGAGGGCACCAGCTTGACACTGACCTGCTCCACTGTGATCTCATGTCCCTCAATCCAACCTCAGATGCAGTGGAACCCACAGCTAGGAGAACAGCTCACACCAGCCCGACAGGTGAAATGTAGCATGAGGCAAATCTTGATGTTTGTAAACTACACCGTTCTGTATCCTGAAATGTAATAAAATCCTTGTATTTCTCTTAAGGAGGATGAATTTGGACAGACACTGTTGGTCTCCTCTCAGATGTTCAATGCGACTCCTCTAATTGACCGCCTGAAAATCTCCTGCTCTCTTTTGTACTCTCAGGGCACCAAAAGACCAGCTGAAAGCAGCGTTGCCCTTAGAGTGTTGTGTATGTGAAACAGAGAAAGAAAGCAATCATAAAGCATAAAATCAATTATTTCTATTTATGAGTGAATATTATTATGAGTACTGTGCTGTATTACTCACAAACAAAAATGCAGTGTGTTTTTAACATTTTGACAAATGGTGGGGTCCAAAAGTACATAGAGTAAGCTACAGCTTTTTAGATTCATTTTATTTAATTCAGTTAAATTTAATAAAAATCATATTTTTATTACAAATTATTACCAGAATAGCAATTGGAATTAACTTGAATTTCAGAATGTCTTAGTGATTTGTCTCTTCCTTGCTTTTTGTGTTTGTGTAAAACCTGATGATGATATTCAGCATGATTCGAGAATGATCCAAAAAAAATCTGCTGGACTTTTGGACCCCATTGTATGAAAGTGTCTAAGCAAGTATTATGTAAAGGAAACTGGTCGCACTTCTTTTTCAGATGCTCCCAGAAACACCATAGCCCTGGTCAGTCCATCGGATCCAGTGTCTGAAGGCAGTGTGGTGGTGCTGAGCTGTCATAGTGATGCCAACCCTGCAGTTCAGCGCTATGAGTGGTACAAAGACAGTGGATCTGGAAAGCTAGAGTTACAGAATCAAGGACAGACTCTAACATTGATAGCCAGGAGTACCGTTCAGGGTCTGTATGTCTGCAAGGGCTACAACAACCACGGGACCGACCGATCGAGGCCTGTCGCTGTGGACATAAATAGTAAATTTATTTTCTTTAATTTTTATTTCAAATTAGAAATTTTATTTCTGTTAGCAGAAACTTTACTAAGTTAACTTTACACTTTCTTGCTAGCTCTTTTCAACAAGAAACTTTTTTTATTAAGTAGTAGTGTAGCGTGATAAAACGGAGAAATCTGAAGTAATAATTAAATATACTTAACATAGTATGTACAATCTCTTTCTCGTTCGAAGCATGGGAAGTCCAGTGCATTTAAGCTGTTAAAATGATTCACGACGATTCATTTGAGTCCTTGCAAAGATTGTAGCGTGTCTTCCGTCTTCTTTTATATATATATATATATATATATAAAGATATATACAAAATATGTTTTTTGCTAGATAATAGCTTCAATTAATTGCTTTTTATTAGTAAGCAATAGCTGTAAACAAAAAAAACTTGGCGCAATATCAAACACACGACACAACATGTCAAACCATAATGTGAGCAATGGAGAATTCCAGTGAGTAGCAACGGAAAATAATGATTACTGTGTCAACACTCATGTTTATTCAATTCAAGGGGTAAGACATTTTTTGTTTGCTTATGCCCCTTGACGTTAAATCAAAACTTTTTTGTTTTCTTGTTTACATGTCCAGGAGCTTACTGTATGCTTTATTTTCATCATCTTGGACATCTTTATGTGTCATTGACCCATAATCACTTTAGTACAGTGATTTAATCTATGCTTGACTAATGGTGAAGGTGATTCATGGCAGACAGACTCTTTGGAAAAATTGGTGGCAGTGTTGATGTGGCTGCATAGGGGGCAGTAACTGGACATATGGTCAGTTCCTGGTGTACACAAGCAATTAAATCAGAAACTACTTCAAAACCACATCAAAATACATTTGTTAGAGTATCAGTGGGCATTTAGTTGATGTGTAAACTTGCTAAGCTTCAGAATGTTCATTCTCAGACCATTTGTAACTGAAATGTGGAAAGCAATGTGTTTTATGTGAACGAGTTATGTATCTTCTTGGGTGTTCTGGTATGCAAGTAAATTTCATAATATGTGTCTGTGTGTCATAATATAGTGACGTGAAATGAGCTACAGTTTTTTCCTTCTGTTTCTGTCTGATTCAGGTTGCCAGTGCTCCATTGTATCGTACATTGTATGTGGACTTCTGACTCTTTTCTTAATTCTTATTACTGCAGTGGATTTGGTCAAATACAAAAGGTGGGTTTTGAGAAGTGATTACAAACAGCAAGATGTTTGGCATCCATAATGTGAAGTTCAGCCTGTTTTTATACATAATTCAGTGTATGAAGATCAGCTGCAATGTACAGACATGTATTTCCTTCAAACACAACGTTTTAATTGCTACTTAATTTATATGCCTATTATAATTTTTTTTCTTTTTTTTTCAGCCTGTTAAAAAGACTTCAAGTAAGTATGACACCATCATAAATCATATAAGCAGATAACAGATAAATCAAGCATTCTGTGTTAATTCAGGCAGGCCTCGTAGTCAAGCTCTGCTATCAGCTGACTGGAAAATTCAAACCCAGCCCCTATCAGCTGATCCAATTCCTATGCACTTTTAAACAGGGCACCTTACTTAAACGCAGCTTCAGTCAGCTTGCTTTGCTCCTTCCTCTGCACGCTGCTTTGCAACCCATCTCCTCCTTCAACTTTTAACTTAATGTCATTCCGTTGTCATAGTTGCATGCTCTGTTCTCAGAGGATTTTTGTGCTGCTCTCTTATTGTTAAAATCATAAAATGGGAGGGTTGCCCCCAAAGCTGCTGCCATTTGCCTGTCTTAGCTTTCATTGAGCTCATGAAAAGGACAGGGAAATTAGAATAGAGCCATACCGCCAAATGTAACTTTGCAAACATGCCAATAAAGTTGAAGTTAAAGGTTTGTCTATGGTTTTCTCTTTGACTTAAGAGGTCCTGACTGAAATAGAATATCATAGCACAAACTTTGCTTTCAGGCAAATTCGTAGAGCACAAACTAGGGTGTGCAAGATTTATTATCTAAATTCACCAGATGCTAGGTATTTGTTATTTTCAAAGACCCTTTAGTTGTATTTGTCTTTCGTACTGTTAGGCGTCTGAAAGTTTGCGAGGACCCATGACCTACGACACCCTCCACAGGACCAGTGACTCAGTGTACAATATAATACAGGTCAGTGTTCTCATATACATTTTTGCCCTGTTCATATTACATATTAAGTCAATATGCAGAAATACCTTTCCAAAAATGTAGTATTGAAGGTTGTTTTGTTAAACTACACACAGAAAAACAACATTATTCTATTTGAACTTGCTTGTGCATCTTGGCATGCAAGTGAACTTTGAAAGATGCATTGAACAGAGTTGTATTTCTTATTTCTCTGGAAAACAGCAGTTCTATTCCATGTAAGTTGTATTTAGATACTATGGGGCTTTTTCCATGACATAAATTAATCAACCGTTAAATCGACTAGCTGAGTGGTTATCAATTTCCTGAGACAGGAAGTAGATAATAATTATTTCTCAGAAAACAGGAGTTGTGTAAGCATATTCAACTCTGATAGGCTGATCACTATGCTCTGCTGACATGCTGCATGTGCAAACATTTTTGCTTTGGAGTGTGGTCTTGCAAGATAGAGGGGGAAAATTTGTCCTGATTTCATACGAATTGTGATGACACAAGCTGCTGTGTCACAGTTCCAAGATGCCAAAATGTCATCATTTGTCATATTCTGTTGTTATTTTAACTTTTGCCCTCAAATATATACTAAAATGTCCTTGCAGCAAACATAACATAACATGCATATTTGCATTTGCACTGCATATTATTAAAAATGTATAAGAGTGTTTTATAATGAGTGATGTGCGTGTATATGATGTATCCTTCTCTTTGCTGCAGACAAGGGCCAGCAAAACTGAAGACGACTATGAAAACAGAAACTATGGTAAACCTCAGCCCAAGTAGGAGTTGTGGCCTAGAAGTTAGGTGCTCAGGTTGAAGACGCAGGTTCCAATCTCTCCTGAGGCCTGCATGTCTCAAGCCATTTTCTCCAGTTTTTTTGTTTCATATCTCTAAATGACAATAGTCCAAATAATTAATCAAATCAAAATGAACAGAACTGGTATCATCTGAATTGCGTGGTCAGTACGATTTTTTTTTTTTTCTGAGAAATTCATTCTTTTATTCAACAAGGGTGCATTACATTGATCAAAAGTGACAAGGACATTTATAATTTTACAAAAGATTTCTATTTCAAATAAATGCTGTTCTTAAAAAAAAAAACTATTTTCAACACTGATAATAATTGATAATAAGAAATTGTTAAGAAATGTATAATAATAAGAATAATAAACAACAAAAAAATACTAAGAAATGTTATTCATCACCAAATCAGCATGTAAGAAATCTGAAGACTGGCGTAATGACTGCTGAAAATTCAGCTTTGTTATCACAGGAATAAATTTCATTATTAAATAATTAATTATTTAATAATATTATACAGTCATAATATTTCACAATATTGCTGTTTTACTGTCATTTTGATCAAATAAATGCAGTATTAGCATAAGAGACTTCTTTCAAAAACATTTAAAAATCTTGCCGACCCCTAAACCTTTTAACAATAGTGTATAATATCCACACAAGCTTTTCATCTACATGTTAAATCATAGAAATTATATTAAAATTATATCTGAGCAGACAGGGAGGGTTGTAACACTTTCCAACACATTTGCCACAATTGTGAACAATTGTGCACACACACACACACACACACACAAACTGTTAAGGGTACAAAATTCCCTGGGTTAGTACAGAAGCATCTATCTTCTTCTTTCGCCACCACAATATTGTCCCTGGTATTTGTGTATCATGTATGTTTATGTATTTTACGTGGGTTGAAGATTTGTGACATCTACTCATAAATACTTTGGAAAATAAATGAGATAAAGATGTTTCCTCTCACTCTCACTTTCAGTCACTCCTTTAATCACTCTCTCACTCCCTCTGGCCGTCTGTCTACAACATTCTTCACATTCTGTTAGTCATTGGCAAACGGCTCAGAGGTGTGACGAAAACGGAAATCACACTCCCCTCCCGTCAGCTCTTTGTGATGATGTCAGTGTGTTTGTGCATCACAGGAAAGTCATTATTTTACAGACAGTGGCGGGCGAATTGCACTTAAGAGGTTGTCTTTGTATATATTTCCATCTACAAGAATTAAGACTAGATAGATGATTAATATGGTAAACTTTTGACACAAGGCATGAGAGGACAAAGTAGAAATCACATGCGTCATGTTAAGAAAGAGTTTTTCAAGAGCACATTTCAAAGACATTAAAAATATTTTAAGGGGAAGAAACTTCATTCTTAACCAATTTGCTTTGTTAATGTATTTATTTTATTTTTACTGAGCTTGCTGTACAGCTCTTTGAAATAACATCATAGTTCACCAGCCAATCAGAATCAAGCATTCATATATGCTGTGGTAGCATATAAACACCTGGAAACTATTAACTATAGTGGGCTGGGAGGTTTTTCATATTCATACTCATAAAAGAAGGAAAATATATAAACTTATGCTGACACCTCTGAATCACAGCTTTTTAGAACACAAACGTCTATTCTTGGAAATAAACAAAGAAATGGAAGTGTAACACTTTTAGAAGACACAAAACAGTGAATGGGTTAAGGGTCATGGAACAATAACAATGGTGCACACGCTACAGGAAAAGTCTTGTGATGATGTCACAGATGACCAGAGCCTGGTTCAGACTCATTGATGATGACAGATGCTTGGATCATGCTCGAAAAATGTGCGTGTGAGAGTAAGTCTGTCTCTGTGAGGCCATAGTGAGACATGCAGTCATAGTAGACTGCTATGACTAAAACTACCCTGTCCGGGCATGTTGGCCTACATCACTCAAAATAAATTTGAATAAGTAGCTGGACATTTTGATCATTCACTGTTTTCGCAATTTCACTTTGCTCAACTGGAAATAATGTAGTTTTGCCAAACATAACAGTGGTAGGCCACAAAAGTGATTAGGGTCAGTAAAGACTGTGCGTTATGAAATCCACCGCCTTGTGATTTGTTTTGGGATTCCCCTTTATTCACAGATCTAGGACTTTTTGGACTGTAATTTTAACCCTTCCTCCTGGCCCAGCGCCTGAGAAACACATCCTGGTGGGAATTATATGCTTTTACCTCCGTATAATATTTCCTTGTTCATAAGAATAGAACAAAACTGAGACAAAAAAAAAAACATTTATGGCTGTAACACAGTATCCTGGTCTAGTGACCAAAAATATAATACCTTGACCATATGATCTTCCAGTGAAACAACCTATTTTCTCATGGTGATGTAACCAACGCATTAAAATATGCTTCAATCCAGTAAACAAATGATGGATTCTTTTTTGATACACGTCTTTTTTTTACACACACACACACACACACACACACATATACATATATATATATGACACATATACATATATACATATGAAGAGTTCAGATGCAAAAGCCTCTAAGTGCCATCTGAAATTTTCATCTAAAATGAGCATTTTTATCAGACTCCTATATTTATGTTCATTTATTTCACCTTAATGGCATAGAAAAGGATCTATACATTGCCATTATAAAGCACAAGTTGGAAAAACTGAAAGAGGTAAAAAGAGTTCATCAGATGGCATCAGATTCAATGATCAGTTCATTAATAGAGGAAAGGATGTTGTTTCTGCTTGAACACGCATTACTTTTAGGAATTTAAACACCTCAAAGAATCCACCCACTTGGGCTAAATGTGGCTTGTCTTCTGGTGTAAACGCATCCCTATATGAAACAATGAACTGCTGCCTACTGAGCATTAACAATCCACCTCCCCGCCCCAGCGCTATGAAAAGGCTGCTGTGTCAAAAAATATGATGCAACTTCCGATGCTGCAGACTAATGGAAGAATGGTTCGCTTGGACAAAGCATGTACTTCTAAACGTTCAATGAGGTGCATGACTCCAGCAAAAGATTAGAATTCCCTGTGGTGAGTAACATTTTTCCCACTTTTTTTGGGGAAGGGCACTAAGGTGTGTTCTCCATCCATTGACTTTCCACCTGTTGCATCGGAGAAGATGAGATCATCATCATGAGATCAACCAAATCCATTACTAGCCTACTTTATCACAGTTGCCCATTACTGGACATTTTCCCAAGCGCTAGAAATGAATCACGGCTGACTGTGTAGCCTATAGATCAGTTCTAATATGACGTCACACAACATTAAAAATAAATATATAAATAGATTTTAAAAATACAGAGGGCAGTGAAAATACTAATAATGGGAATATATGTGTGAAAATACTAATAATGGATATTTATACTTATACAGTAGGGCTTTCACACTGCGCTAAACCACGAGTTATCGTCGTTCTAAACCCTTATGTTAACCCCGGGTTGAAGAGCGTTTCACTCTATTAGTAAATATTATTGTTTCCACTGCCTTCTGTATTTTTTATTTATTTTTATTTTATTTTATTTATTTTTATGTTGTGTGACGTTGACCGTGTGGATGCATCACAGCAAAAGAGCAAATGTTTTTAGTAAATGACGGTATTGTAGAAATGATCTATACACAGTCAGCCATGATTCATTTATAGTGCATGGGAAAATGTCCAATAATGGATAAAATGTTAGAATGTAACGACTAGCCTATATGTTTAGCAACAGTCACTCGAGAGCGAGCCTCGTACTCACGTGTTCGGACGGTCACGGAAACACCGCGCGTTGTATAAATAGTTGTATAGCCTAATTGTTTGGGTGTTTGAGGGGAAAATGTCAAATGGTGGCGGAAAACGCGTCATTTGGAGTGAAGAGACAGCTGAAATGTTACCCTTTTTAGCCCGAAAAGCCCATTCAGGGGGAAAAAAAAAACACCTTGTGTGCAGGTAGCTATGTGACACGAAAATGAGCAATGCTAGAGCCGTTATGTAAACAGGCGTGCTGCGTTCGTCCTATCCGTGACACACCGCAAATATGCAAATAAAACGCTAAACCTCAGTTTATGAATATTCAAGATTAATGGTTAACTATGACAAGTATGAAACATGAAGCAAGATAACTCCGTTTACCTGGGGTTTAGAATGACCCAGCAGGGATAACTATTTCAAGTGTGAAAAGCCCTAGTGTACGCATAATCTATCACTGCATTCTAAGTATACTAGACCACAAGATTCTAGGCTACTCTTACCACTTCCTGAAGAGGTACAGGATATGACCCCACACAGTGTTAACAGTCATATTTCTCTTATCAAACAAGTCTCTCTTTGCCTTAATTGCAGTCACAAGCCAAACAAAAAAGGAAGACATAAGAATGAGTGAGTGATAAAGAAAATGAAAGAGGGATGGGGAAGGAATGCACGTCTGTGCATTCAGGCATGAGGACACTTGTGCATGCTGGACGTCTGAGTGGAAATAACAGCGCGATGTGTCAGAGGAGGCCAAGTGAACGAATCTACTGAGGGAATGCTCAGTGGGTAGACGTGGGTAGGGGGCTTCAGATCTTCTAGATTAGTGTGTGAATATATTATGTCTGTGTTCTGTCATGAATTGCACCTAATTTGTCTAAAAAAATAAAATAAAAAACCGTCTCATCTCAGCCCATCATCTCTGTGGCATTTCCCTATGGCAAACTGTAATCAGATACGACTGTTGTCTTGTATGTATATTGCATGCATATGAAAGATAACCTGCCTAATCGTGGAACAAAGTAGTAAGTATCAGATTAGGAGATAAATAAAAAGAAAAATATAATCTCATGGATATAGAGTCTTTTACATGCATTACCAGAGATGCTTAACATAAGGTTGTTTATGTGGTGCAAAGACTACCCTAAAATAGAAATCCAAAATTAGGAACATAAGGGTCTGGAGGCATCAAGTTGGCGGAATTAGCAAAAACTGTTGAGTTCTTCAGAAAAAAAGATATGTGTAGTGAGAGGGGGTGTGTAGGTCTTTTTTTTTTTTTCCTGAATGTGAGTGACTCAGAGTTGTGTGTCATGGCCCATACTATAAAGGAGAACCCTTTCACTAGTCCAAATGTTAGTAGAGTGATAACACAAGTTTGTACACTGTGTTTACTACTTGTGTTTTTGGGATTACCATGAAATGTAAGTAGGCTACTTTTATCATTCTTTACATCAACTTTACAGCACAGGGATGGGAATGTGTTTTAGTGAGGGCAAACATGGAAATTGTAGAGGGTGGGTCTATAGTGTGGGTGTTTTTGCTATCAATGAATTTTGTTTGAAAAGTCTTTTCAGAATAGGTACCAAAATAACCACTCAAGCTAGTAAAGCATTTGGCTTGTCAACCTCAATCTAATTCAGTTGATGTTAGTGATGGGTATTGTGTCATTTATATGACAAATGAAATATTTAAAAAAAAGCATTTTAACTCTTTTAAGGAAATGCTTTAAGTTATTTTAATTTATTATCATTATGATAGTCAGGGTTGTAACCGCCATGACACTTAACATTCAGATCACCAATATGGGTTTTTCAATGCTTAAATTATTAGTTCCTTTGGTTCTCCAAATCGTGATTATGTGCTGCATTCTTGATAACAGGTCACATTAAGGTCAAGGGTCAAGGGATGAAGATGTTTAACCTACTAAGACTCATTTAAAGCTGGTCATTTCTGTCATTTTATTAAATATAATGTAATATAATACAATTCAAGACAGGTTTATTATTGTTGACTAAAACTATAAAAATTTGTTTTGGGTAATTGAAATGCAGATGAAATAAAATAAAATTTGATGAAAAATTAAATGAAAATTAGAAATGTTGCCTCAGAAACTAAAAAAAAAAAAAAATTTACTTAAAATTACTAAAACTGAAATGGAAATCAAAACTAAAATTAAAGTGAAAACCTGAAAAAAAGCTAATTCAGGTATATATTCAAATATATACTAAAATATTATATAGATAATATTAAAATAATACTGATTCAAGGTCAAGATTTCATGGTTTTGTAAAGCTGCTGCAGGATCAGTTGTAACCTCAGTCTTTAAACATTCTTACATTGCTTTTGCTTGATAACTTCCAATTTTAAAATATGCACACGTATTGACTTGAGCTCATTTACTGAACACTTCAAAACCATAAAGCTAATGCTTTTTTAAAATTGTGTTGACAGAGCAAAAAGATGCTATCAGTCTAAAAATCATTTTCCACAAGTTCAGAGAGAGGATGTCTGCAAGTGAGTCAACAGCTGGTCGCAAGGCTAATTGAGTCAATGTGATCTTTGCATGCCTACAACGGTTTTGATGGGGATCACCGTGCCATCAAATCAGTAGGGGTTACACGCAATGGTTACCGTTGACATGAACAATTTCTCCATATAAAAAGGTTTCAAAGGATGCTAATTGCGTAAATAGCCATTCATTTCCTTTTAATGCTTATCAAACTGTTAAATCACACAGTTATCACATATCTGCTGCATGTATTTGAAGGCCTACACCTTCACACAGACTTCAGTCATGGCTCATTTGAGTTTGCAAAATATATATATATATATATATATATATATATATATATATATGACTTCAGTCATGGCTCATTTGAGTTTGCTGTGGTTAAAGACTGCCGCAAACATCAAACGGGCCAATTAGTGGGTAAAAGAAAGAACTGCATTATTAATTTTCACTGTAATTGTCATGAAATGTATTCAATGCTCCTCAAAAAACTGTGTAAATGTGTATATATTCTTGCTATGGGTTTTAATCAGAGAGTAATTTTGGAAAAACAGGTTGACACTGAAAATGTTAGGATATTTAATTGAAAAATAGACTTAATTTGGTCGTAGTCAAAAGAAGATAATGCATGTCTCATTCAGTAATATGTGAGTTCAGGGATACAGATTTCCTGAAAGAACTCAGAACTGGAAATTCTTGAATTTTGCAATTCATTTCCACCAGTTTTACCGGTTTGGTGAGATTTTATGATCTTGTCTCATGAGCTCAGGCTAAACAAGGGTGCATCAAAATTTAGGCATGTCACCATACACAACAAACATTATATCCGGAAAAAATGCTGACTCACATCCGTTCATCCAAACAGCTCTCTTAATTTTGTGCATTCAGTGTGAAATTGATCACAAACAACTGTTACAAATGCATGTCATACATGCCTTGGAAACTCCTGTGGGATGAAATCCTTCTCTAAGTCATCCCATCCGGTATAACCATTACAAACCAAGAGGAAGAGCTCTCTATGCAAATCCCTCTGCTTAGATACAAGTTTTTATGGAGTAAAACAGCTGTTCGGGACACACACTGAAACACTTGTGACTCAGAGCAGCTGTTCCAATGACATTAATAAGAAATCCTGTTTTTTTTATGCTGACAGTGTCACCTGACTCCACCTTTCCCCTCATCGTCTTGATGACTTGCGTTGAGCTCTTCACCTTCATCACAGCCCGTCCCACTAATATACCACAAGGAAAAAAGGGTCTGCAGATGCTGTATCAAGATATGCGTACGCTGCTGAAATTAGTATCACAAGAAAGGCATGGGGTAAATACCAGTTCTTTACGGAAATGCTTTTCTAATTCATTATAGGATCAATTTCAGAATAACACATGTTTACATTTTGCTCAATAAGCTTATTGTTTGTCTAAAAAAATCCTTGACATTTTTCAGAATGAGATGAAAGACTTTGAACAATCACTCACATCCCTGCCCTCGCTGAACTACAAAACAGAAGACCTGAAATCACTCGAGGTAGAACATCCACATCTCTGCCTGTTTTCTTTTTTTCCATGTCTGTTTCAAGCATCTAGACTTTCTTTTTGATAGAACATTTTTATGAATAACATCCAAAATTAAGACCAGACTGATATCCCAAGCAATCATAACTTCTCCCAACCAAAAGGCCAGACTGGAACAAAAATGCAAAGAAATTCATACAAGCGCCACAAGTTTGCTTAGATAGATAGATAGATAGATAGATATTAAGACGTGAATGTGGATTGTGTGTAACATCTGGCTCCTTTTGACCCACAGGTGAGCAGTACATTAGGACAGCTGTACACTGGTCTTAAATCCTTCAAGTTCCATCTTGACTGGATCCAGCAAAAACAGGAAGAAATGGGGAGTGATTATTATAAGACAAAGAAACTTGCTCATCGCATCCAAGTCATCAGCCACATGGTGCTCATACAGGTAAGAACCGTTCAACACACCTACAGTAGGAAATCAAACAATATTTAAATATCTTAAAAGCTGTCAAAATGGATGTAATGGATTTGTCAAAATCATGTGACACTGAAGACTGAAGTAATGGCTGCCATCACAGGAATAAATTAAGCATAAAGAAAACAGTTATTTTTAATTGTAATAATATTTCATAATATTACTTTTTACTAAAAAAAAAAAAAGTATTTAATTTAAACATTCAAATACCAAAACATAAAATGTACTTCAAGTGGCATGAAAGTACATTTCTATAAAAAAATATTTAAAGCATAGAAAATTAGGCCTTTTGTTCGCTCACTAGTTCTAATCAAGCCACCATCAATGTGTTACCTTGAGAACGTGAGAAACGAATGCAGAACGCATTATTTATTACACAAAGTGTTGTTAGCACTTTGTTTCTCAACAGATTTACAGGTTTAGTGCAGATATACAGTTTCCGTGTTATTTCAAAATGATTATACCAGGGATACCCAATTATATTTATTGAGTTTGCTAATTCTTTATTTATTTATTGTCCAAATCCACTTATATTGCATTCCAAATGTACATTTGTTCAATATACGCACTCCCCGAATCAATCCCAGCTTTGCAGTTGCATGCTTTGCCACAGTTTACAGAGGTCAACTAAAGGGTGAAATCCACCACAAAACACATATCTGTAATCTAACGGACGTTCTTACACCAGGATGTAAATTTAAGCCCCAGGGACCATGTTGCATTTTGCAAAATGCAGAACCCATGCGTATTTAGAAATTTATCTACCTGATGTGCATTTACTGCACCATAAACAAACGATAATGTTGTGCCATAATCATTTCGAAAGCATATGCTTTTGCTTCTTGAGCTTCTTAGACCGTTTGCTCTTGTCATTTGGTATGCAAATACAAATCTTACTTGCTATTTTTGGCGCACACAGGTTTCTCATCCCACCGACACACGCACATAGCAACCATTAGCTTCAGCCACCAACAGCTGAACTGTCTGTACTCTACAGGTGCCAGTTGCATATGGTTTTGAAACAGTTTGGACGGCTATTACCAATAATTATTTGCTCTAGTGTTCTAAAGCTCATTTATTTTCATTCCCCTGCCCAAACAGCTTTGACTAGTCTCGACAAAGGTGTTTGTTGTTGGACCTCTGATGGCTTTGCCCCCATGAGGGACCCAGCAATTAGTCCCTCCGGCCCCAGAGCGAGTGCTGCTCTGCAGGAGCCCGTCAGCGTACCATTGCCACTGTTTGTGTGTATTCTTTTCCACTGTCTGGCCTCTGGGAAAATCTCACAGGAAGCTGAATGTACACTGAGGGCAGACAGGATCCAGAGGTGCAATAGTTGCATTATTGCATACTACATCTTTTTTTTGCTGTATGCATTAGCTAGTTTAAAGGAAGTAAGTTGAGTAGCATCATTTTTGAACATTTTATCACTATTTAATTGTGTGCAAGCTATTTAAATTTGTAAAATAAATGTGTTTTCTTTTTTCTCTAAATAATTTCTTTTGGCATAAATAGCATTGCTGAAACCCAAGTACTGGATTTTGGACAAAAGTTGCCTCTGTTAAAATATAATGCTTAAAAAAAAATTTATAAACTATAAAAAAAAATATATATATATATATAAAATATATTTTGGGTAAATGCAAAAAGTTTTTTTTTCACAATTTTGTACAATATATATATTTAGATTAAAAATATATTTAAAAATGGCCAAAAATATATGAGGGGATGTAAAATGTATATGTGGGTGTCTGAAACACAAGCTTTAGGTGTCTGTGTTTATGAGTGAATCTGTAGATGTGTTTAGTGTGCTGTCCGTGTGTGTAGTTGTGTAACACTTTTACCGCTTTGTGATGGAGTGTTTTCCCTTTCCTAGAAGGTTTGATTGATTCAGATGTTTGATAAAGTTTGACTGAACAGAATTGTTTTGAAATACTTTTATAGCTGCCTTTAAGATTATGGGTTCATATAGCTCTGCAAAAAACCTATAATGTCTCTTTATCTTTCTGTATTTTTGTTGAAGTAATAGAAAGTTTTGCTTTTCGTTGTTTGCACAGTTTTGAGGGTCATAAAACCAGTTTAACAGCTGGACTATAAAGTGGGTGTCTTTATGACCCAAACATATTCAGAGCTGCTGATTGGTCAGTTGGTATCAATAAGACATATGCGTCTGAAAAAGTCTTATTTTGAGTTGAAGATGTGCCATGAATGGCTGGTAAGATTTCAGGCCTTGGAAATGCTTGAGATGGAGAATATTGCAATACAGAGAGGGACATGATATGACACATCCCTGACAAAAACTGTTTCATGTGTTAACGTACAACATTTAACCCAGTCAAACATTTGCCTGTCACGTGTCTGTACCTCAGTGATTGCATGCAAAACTGCAACTCCTCTCGGACTTTAAAGTGTGCAAATGGATTTCTGACAATCCTTGTTAAATGCCGCTCCGCAAGAAGTGGTGTGTGTAGATAGTGTATGATATGTTCTTTTTTAATTTTGTATGAGCAAACAGCTGTGCTTTCCAGCACCTCTATTTATGTACAAATGCTCCTCTGTAAAACACTCTGCGGTCAGTTGAAATAAAATTGTTTTGCAGTAAAAGTTGCCTTGTGGTCCTCACTTACTGAGTGTTTGTATACAAACTCTATATATATATATATATATATATATATATATATATATATATATTGGCATTTATGAACTCCAAATGTCCAAATGTTATTTATTAACTCCAAATGCGTTGGAAGGTTCAGGGTGACAACAGTTGGAAAAGCATGGAATAAATAGATTATTTTAAAAACCATGATGGCTGACAGACAACAAAAATGAAATAAAAGTGAAAAAAGTAAGAATTTGTTAAACAGAAATCTTCTAAACCTTCTTACAGATTGGGACGACACCATCTGAACTGGTCTACCCTTCCCTGTCGCCTTTGAACACGGCTTGGAACTTGTACAAGGCCAATGTGGAGATCCTTGACAAACTGTATTTCTTTTGCAACTGGTACATTAGAGCATTGGGAGTCCTGAAACACAGACAACAGTGATTAACAACATCATATGACACCAGTAGCCCTCAGCTTATCTCCATGATGCCTGACTTGCCTTAATGTTTGATAGGATGGAATGAACCTTCCAGCCTTTGTAAGTCATTCTCCATTTTGACAGTGTTTTCCAATTAACGTTTCCTATGTATATTGTTGTTTTTATTTTATTAATAATGTATGTATTTAATATTTATTGAACAGTTCTTTGTTTACAATGAAGGATTTTTATACATAGAGTGAATGAGAAAAATAGCACTTTATAAAAATGTTAAGTGTGCCATTTCAATAAGGGAGTTTTGTATGCAAAAAATCAGCTGCAGGCAGTTGCTAATAGTGACCATTAGGTGTCGCTTAGAAACCTTTTACTGTGGTTATTAATGTGATATACTGTATAATTAAATGCAGTTCAGGACGGGCACTCTTTTATTTATTTATCTATTTTTTTAAGTTAGTAATTTCACCAGTAAGTCCTGAATCAACATTCTTGTTGAACAACATAACTATCTTCCATTCTAATTTTAAGGTTAAGGTTAGACTTTACGTACGGTTGCCACTTAAACAGCACAGTGGCTAAAGCAACTGTATGAAATATCAGTTTCAGAATAATTCTGACGGTACACTTACTTCTAATAAGGCGAATGGCTTCCGTTTCCTTTTCACGTTCCCCACAAACCTCTGTTCTGCATGTATGTAATGGTGAGTGGGTACGAAATACCAGAGATTGGCTTAATATTGGGAGATGTGAGGGTCTGTAGTACTTACCATTGGAAAAATCGTGACGGCTAACTTGGATCACGTGAGGCACCTCAGCCAATCATACAATGGCCTCTGGTCTCCTTCCCTGCATACCGCCAATGCAGCAGCGTTAGCATTAGCCGTTACGCTTTTTTGGCTAAAGGTTGCAGAATTGCCTTCCAGTGGCTGTGGTACACCTGTCCACTGTATTTACGACAGTGAAGTCCACTCATTTAACTGTAGGTTGCTCCATGGTCACAAAAATACGCAAAACTACATACAGTTGCTTTAATGGTTAGGGTTAAGCCTATGTTTGTTTAACAGGAATTTTTAACAGTGAATGATGTTGATCCACGGCCTATTTGGCAAAAGTTGAATAAATGGAAGATAAAATTGGGCATTCAACACAAAACAAGGTCCATAGTTTCATAAGGGCTAATGGATGCTATTGCTGCTGCACCATGGGTTTTTGTGAACATTGCAAAATGCAATCACTGCCTTCAGATTGTATTTATTCTCTGTGATTATGTGTTTATTCACACTGTATTTATGGACACTGCTCTACCCCCCAATATTCTTATATCAGTACCTCAGGACTACTTAAAACTCTTAACACTGTCGTCTACCCTTATTGTATCTGTTACTGCCACTTATTTGTATTTAATGCTCTGTCTGTGTTATTGTTCTGCCTATGGTCACTGAAGTCACTCAATATCTCAGTGCCCTCCACGTACGTCTATATCTGTATGTTTTTTTTTGTATGGTCCTGTTATTGTCACTGTATGTCTGAGCCTCGTCACAAGCATTTCAATGCCCAGTTTTCCCCAGTGTTAACTATGCAAATGATAAATAAATGCCTCTTGACTCTTGACTCTTGACTTTTTATTCTAAATTAAAGGTGCCACCATATTGCAGAAATGCACTGAAAACAAGAAAAAGAGGCCTTACATTACTTGAAAAAAACTTTGACATTGTTCATGATGGATTCATCAGACTACATGTAGACAGGAAAACAGATTTGCAAATGTATACAGCGCTTACAGTGGTGTTAATATCAGAGAATTATTTGGTAAAATCATTCAGGTGAAGGGAACCAACACCTAAATTCCCTCTGATCAAGCTTTGCAAGCCCATTGAGACGGATGTAGATGCTTCAGTTGTGTCCTGGATGTTGTGTTTATTTTTCATACTTTTTTTAAATACATATCTATATATTTATTTTTTTATTTATATTTTTTGATTATTTAATTGTTTTTGTCATTTTTCTTTCAATAAAATGATTTTACATCAAACGCTCACAGCTTTTTTTTTTTTTTACTTGTTGAACTGCGTCAGCAACAACTGAACCTTTAATAAAACAATAATCCAACCATCATCACATCATTTCTGATGTTCTGTATATAATCAGTTATATTTGGATTTTAATATTTGTTCTTTAAATAAACTTGTGTGTCTTATTTGTAGGTTTCATTTTCCTGCCCCGCCTGGCTGAGCATTTTCACAAATAGTTGCGCTTATAGATCCAGACAGTTAAAAATTGCCAGTATTAGTGTAATCAACCATGAATGTCAAAATCTGTGTCATGATGACTAATACCAAACGCTGCAGAATAGGGAATGGGATATGGATAAAGGATATGTCATATGACTGTGTGTGAGAGAGTTTAAAAAGCTGAAAAGTCAGGACTTGGCACATCCTGCAGAAAGAGAGATCTGCAATATAAGCGTTTTTGTGTACCACTCTCGCACAGCTGTTGGATTTGTCATGCTCCCTGAGAGAGAAATCGAACATGCTGGCCAGCATCATAACACATTCGTCAGATCCATGATACAGAAAAACAGATAAAGGGCTATTAATTGATTTCCATGATATGCTGATCAATCAAATCAACTGCAATTAAATCAGATAATCTAGTATTTGCTGTAAATGAAGAGGTTTTGATTAATCACACTAAATCACAAAAAAAATACAAGGTACAAAATGTGAGAGCATTAAGTACATCAGCGAGAAGAACTGAAAGGGTGGGGGGGTATAGTGACAGTATAGTATAGTGACAAATTGTCTGTTATACAAGCTCTACAGATCATACAGTACTGTCAGCAATGAACACCATAACATTCAAAGGGAGGGGTAATGGCAGCAAGAGCGCATGTGAGTGAGCATACTGGAGAATTTGGATAGACACAGAGAGAGAGAGAGATAGTACAGAGAGACTTTTGAACTGTATAAAGCTGAGGACAAATGCAGTATAGCAATCAGGATATGTACTCAGAAGCAAAAGAAACTAACCTGTAAGTTGATTTATGACTGGTTGACCTGCTGTTGCCTGTTTGACCTGCAGCTTTCAGTGACTAGAGTTTATGGACAGAGTGATCAACAGGGAACTGCACCTCTAAATTCCCTTTCAGCCTTCAAACAGCAAACATGACAGTAAGTCTTTTCATTTCTTTAAAAATGTCTCTTCTATATGGATTGTGCACAGATTTTAAAAGATTTTCATATAGCATGTAATGTAATTTAAAATAAGACATTTGTTCATGGAATATGGGCTGTGCTCCATTCCATGGAGGCTTATATGTACACTGCCGTTCAAAAGTTTAGTAAGATTATTCAATGTTTCAGTCTCTTACTCTCACCAAGGGATGTATATAGATGTGTATAGAAGTGCTTAAAAGTTATAGAAGAGTTACATAGCACATACCTGAAAGTGTTTTTAGAACATGCTATGTAATTCAGCGATTTACAACATTCACAACTAATCCTGAAGAACTTAGATGTGCTGCCCATTCCGCTGTTCTTGACAAGGGGTTAACCAAACACAACTTCTGGTGAACTGTCTGTCCTCACACAACTGATGCCCAACAGGTGCACCTTATCCCTCTTATGCAACACTGTCCCCCATCATCCTGAACTGCTGCTTTACTAAAGAGTGTAACCTTTCTGCTTTTGGGACATCAAAACATACACAGACTAAAAACCTAAAAACACTGAAACAGCATCCAGTTCAAATACAAATCATTACATTCGATCATGCTACATGAATAAATGTTGATCAGTTACCAATACTATTACTGAACAGAACACCTAATCCTATGAAGCTCAGCTGAATAGCACAGCTGTTTGGGGACAGTTAAGATGTGTTGACAGAATAGACAATCCTCAGAACTGAGCCCCAAATCACCCTTTCGCTGTAGTGACCTTATAATAGTATGCAGTGACAGATCCCAGCAGTATATCTCTGATCCAGCCAGATCCTGTTTACTTTCAACATGGCATTTTGTGGTATTTGACAGCTAGTGAAACCTTGTTGACATGCCGCAAAAAGGTAGAAAACAACAACAAAACTGTATGGGAACTATGCCATAAACAAGACTTTTTGCATGCTAATTAGTAAATAGTGATGCTCTAATTTAGTGTCTTTGAAACAAAGTGGAAAACGAGGCATGCAAATTCTCCCTCAAATTACATTAGGTGTTGAATGTTTGGCACATCCATCTGCAACCCTGACTAGTTTTGCTTCTTACAGACTGCCACAAGACTTCTGGATGAGCTGTGTCACTTAACGGCTCAGTCTCTAGAATCACTGGAGCCTTTAGATCACTTCCAAGTTATTAAACTTCTTGGGGAGGGTTCATACGGAAAAGTCAAGTTAGCAGTGCACAAGAAGAGAGGTAAGTTATGTCGCTTTGTCTTTCTCTCATCTGATCTTATCCATGCTATATCACATTTCTGGGAACTCTGCTAGATTACTGTATACTGCTTCCTTCTTCCTTTTCCTTTGACAATATCTCCATTATTCCTCCAAATTTGCATGGAATCTAGGAACCCCAATGGCCCTTAAATTCTTTCTGCGAGACGACACATCTCTACTGTCATTTCTGAGGGAATATAACCTGTCTTTGGCCTTCTGCACCCACCCCTCACTTACTTCTGCTTTAGGCATCGCATTCTCCACTCCTACTCACTATGTGTTCGCCCAGCAACCTTGCCTCTATGGCGACCTCTATGATGTCATCGTTCCTGAGGTTGGTAAAAGTTTAACATCAGTTTCATGCATCTTAATGATGACTGCTCCTGGAGGACCGATGTCCTGCAGAGTTTAGCTCCAGCCTACCCCAATACACTTGCCTGGATGTTTCTAGTAATGCTGAAGACCTAGATAAGTTGGATCAGGTGTGTTTAATTGGGACTGAAGCTAAACTCTGCAGGATAGTGGCCCTCCAGGAGCAGGATTACACACCCAGGTTTGAATCAGTGGTTTCTGAGCATGTGCCCCCAATTTTACACATTTTGGATGTCTCCTTATTCAAATACACCTGATTCAACTCATCAGATCATTAGTAGAGACTCCAAGACCTGAAATTGTTGTGTTAGATTATGGAGACATCCAAAAATGCGTAATGTTGGGTACCAGGGTTGGGAACCACTGATTTGGATAGAGTGAACAATGAAAGAACAGAACTTTTTTTTTGTAAATAACAGTTACAACAGTTGGTTTGCAATGTCAGGTTGATGCAAGCTCGGTAAATTGATTAGTGCTTAAATCAGGGGTGTCCACCCCTGGCCAAAGTGGTAAACTGGTTTCTTCATTGCAGGTTGGTCTGGAAGAGAGCCGTGCCCAGGGAGTGGCTTCCCAGATCAGCGGTGCCCTCTCTCACCTCCATTCTCTTGGCTTTGTCCATCGTGATGTCAAACCGGAGAACATCTTCCTATGTGACCGTGAGTGTCGTTGGGTCAAGCTTGGTGACTTTGGCATGGTGAAGGCTGCAGGCACCAGGGTACCATGTGTGTGGTACTGCTCCCCTTACTGCACACCTGAGGCTGAGATGGCAAGAAAAAATGAGGAGAATCATTTGGGCCACTTGGGGGTGGACAACAATGGGAACAAGCAAAAAGGGGACTCTAGAAAGACTCAAAGGATGTTGGTGTCTGTGGTTCCCAGTATAGACAGCTGGGCGTTAGGCATTCTAATCTACGCCATGCTCATGGGGAGCCTTCCATGGTCTGAGACCATTTCAGACAACCCAGCATATAAAAGATATCTACAATGGACCAAATGGGAAGGTTCAGCATCACAAGAGTCACGAGAGGGGTCAGATCAGCCTGAAAACTTCAACCAGGTGGCACCGCAGTTTGCTGCATTCACCCCTATTGCGACTCGTCTTCTTAGGTCCTTGCTCCACCCACAGTCCAGGCTTCGTGGCAGGCCAGATGAGGTGGAAAGGTATCTGGGAGGAGCCTGGCTATTGGACAAGGATGTCAGTGGGTGATTCATCAAAGGAAGGACAGGACCGAGATCAGCAGGTTGTCGTCATCTGGTCATTCACTCCATGGTGGGAACAATGGTTATCCCTTTTTAGAAGTAGTTCTGCTGTTAACAGGCAGTTTTAATCAAAAGCCTGCTGTTTAATATGCTACATAGAAGCATTATTAGTTGAGAGTTTGTTTTCCCAACTGATCACAGTATATCTTAGCTGTAAACACTAAGGGCCAGATTTACCAAACAGGGTAATTTAGCATGAGAGCGCAATCCCATACAAGCGCAGATGGGAGTGGAAAGTTCTGTGGTTAATCTACTGACAATGTGCACATTAAAGAACACGGATGCAGCCAGATCATTTGCATAATGACCAATGCAATCTACCAAGAGCATCACAAATTAGCGTCGGGTTTAAGACATGCTTTTTTGGGCATTAAATTATGGCAGAAATACCAGTAAATTGACTAGTGCCAACCTTAGTAAATCGCGTTGCGTGATTCATTTAAATACTCTCCTCTCATAAATTTTGTGCCTAAATGGGAAACTCCTACCAAAAGAGGGTTTGCACTGGTGCAAGCTTTTAGTAAATCTGGTCCTAAAGGTTTTGACCTGGCCCTAAATCAGAAGAGTCGTTAAGGGTTATATAAAGGGGTACAAAAAGTGTTTCTAAAAACTTGGGCCTCCATCCACAGTCCAGCAACATTACTACACTCCAAAACAATGTGCATCCTACAAAGATCAATGCTATACCATGGAATCCTTACCAAAAATATTAAAGTGACAGCTAAAGATCTGCAGGCATCTTAATAACATCTGTGTTTATAAGTCTAGATAAATATTGCTGCCATCTCCACTTTCCAAAGTCCAACTGGACTTCTCGGAAAGGAAAAAAAGAAAGAAAAAAAAAAGTAAGGCAGGACTTGATCTTGTCCATCGGGAATTGGTTGGATCGTTCTTTGCTGCTATCTCATGTGAGTGGCACGTTGCTGGAAGGAATGGATTACTGCCTTAGTGCTGGTGCACGCATCAGAGAAAAGATGTTGTCGTGAGAGGAAGTTAATGTTTTTGATTAAGGATTATGAGGGCAGATTTATAATAAATGTTCAAATATTTTATCCTGGACCTCCCCACATGCATAATGAAGCAGGATCCCATAGGGGTTTATGGTGGAACTGCAGGGAACTTGTGGTAGAAATTATAGAAATGTTAATGTCAAATTAATCAAAATAAAGAATTCCAAATTTAACAGTTTGCTCTGTCTACCATACAAAAATGAATCTATTTTCAGCAACATTTTGAACTGTAACTATGTTTATATATATCTTGTATATTTGCTTAATGTCATAAAGATTGGAATGTTCACTCCTGTCTTAAAATCATAGTTATGCTTTTAACAACCTACAGTATGCTCATGAAATGTCATCTTCACGTGGAGCACTTGTGAGCGCAAGAGTAAGAAGAAGCACACCTCTCAAGTTTCAGCAGAAGACACACAAACACTCAGACACTATGTGTCCTAGATTTAAAAATAACCCACACCACATTAATAAAACTCTTTCAGCCATCATCACCTCTGTCAGACGCACACTTGAACTCACATACACATGCATGGGCAAACACACACAGTCTTCACCGATCTTTAAGTGTCTCACACTTCTGCATTTAAACATGTCCCTTCATTCATCAACACTGTACACACACACACAGAGAAGTTACATGTAACGGATAGGTCTTTGGCTTATGTTCAGACTCCTTCAACTGATCCATGAAAACATAACATTGTAAATTATGGAGTAAATATGACAACCGTATTTGCAAAACACATAGAATTAAAATAATTTTGTATAAAGTCAAGTAGATTATAATTTTTTTTTTACAACCAGACTATCAAATTAGAAATAATAATACACAGTATATAAATGAAGACCACCTGACTTTCCAAAACAAAACAAAAAAAAAAGGAAAACATTTAAAACTGCAAACATTTGCACCAGAAACTGAATGAATACAATCTAAACTACTAAATTAAGACATTAGAAATCACTATAGTGCCAGATTTTGCCCTTTCAGTCTGAAGTTATTTTGGCACCTTGTTAAGAGATTAACAGCTGAAATAGCTCATTACTTGAAGGGAGAAGATCCACGAAGATCATTTGACAGCCCTAACTATTCCAGCTGCTGTCTGTATGACCTTTCATTTGATATACTACATTAAAACACATTTATGTGCAATTATGTTAGCGTTAAAGTATGCTGTCATCTTGCATATGATCATTTCTAAGTAAACGTGCATGAGAGAAATATCTGCCTAGAAATTTGATGAATTTATAGCACTGAAATGCCAGAAGTACCAACTTTTTATTTGTAAAATTTCTTCCTTAGAGAAAATGTTCGCAAAATAAACCTCCAGAAGCTGCTGCAAGCTTCATGTTGTGGAAGGTGCTATGAAATTCCATGAGACAACTTTAACTTTTGAGGAAATATTTAAGCCAAATATTTCAGATTAGCCTATGTATTTTAATTGCATATAAAATTTCCATTCATTGGAATGGAACAATTTTCAAACTACTAAATTTACTCAATTTAATGTGATGCATATTTTCATAAATTAACCAAGAATGGCATTGGTGTAATAGTACTAATAAACCAAATATGTATTAAACACATAATAACCATAATTTAATTTAATTTGACTAATTTCAATATCAATTCAATATTTTATATCTCATACATTAACTAATTAAATCAGGCATGTTTCACAGCTAGCCATATTTAAACCATGTTCATACTTGTTAATTGATTATTTAATAGATGTATGGCAATTCTATGGAATTGGAAGAAATACACTTTGAAAACATGATTATTTAAATGCGATTACATGATTATTGCAAGTACTTTATAATAAACTATGCAATGGTTAATTTTCAGTGCCTTATTAGAAATGATCTGAAAATCAATTTGCTGTGTATTTAGTCTTAATCATGAAATTAATAATTATTGCGTTTATTTAAATTGCACATCACATCCCTGTCTGCTAAATGACTAAATAAATAAATAAACATCCCCAGCGCCCATACATGCTTACTTTCCTACTATACACAGTATGCGAAAAACAGTATGTGAAATGAGAAAAGGCAAGAATTCAGAATAGCATACTTCTCTCACTGTTTCTGCCATAAAAAGATATTGTATGGAAAAATAGTATGCTATTCTGAATTTAGCCAAGCTCTTTTAATTATTGTAGCTAAAACATGATATCATTTACAGTGTGTCCGATTGGATAGTTTAATGATTGCACCTTTAATTCTAAAGCACATTTTATTCACTTTAGCAGAACTGGCAGATCAAATGTGTGTAAGAGAGAAAGATCAAGTCCACAATCTATCAGTGAGACATGTTGACAGGATGGTGCCGAATAGTGTTCACAAGTCACTCACACATTCAGACTTTTGAATGAGGACCGATTTAAACTTGCATCGTCGAGTGAACAGCTGGTCCCCAAACATGCTCCCATTTTATTAGCCAAGAACATTTCCTCGCAATGTTTCAAAATAAATCTTAACACTGTATTATAACCTGCTACTACCACGATGAGAGAGAGGACATTTTGTTCATTGCTTGGTTTCTATTTCAGCACCACTGCACTGAAGCCCTGACCATTTTAAAAGCCCATTGATTCAAAAATCTCACTTCACATGCAGTAATTAAACATAAAAAGAAATAGCTTCCCTAATGAAAATTCTATCATCATTACTCACTCTCATGTTGTTCCAAAGTGATGTGAAATGATGAATAATGTACAGGCCACTCTTTTCCATAATCATGCAATGTATTTCAAGTGTTCTAAAGCCATATGATATTTTTATATGAAAAACAGACCAAATTGTTAGTCATTATTCATTATTATTGGACAAAAATATCCTCCAACCAACTAATCATCAGACTGGTGTATAATGTTTGTATTGTTTTTAGTTTATTTATTTATTTTTATTAATTACACCAATTTATGATACTCCATACTCACTCATTTCAAAAAGAAATACGTCTGTCTTACGAATGTACTGCAAATGCTCTAAAGAACGTTAAAGGGGAATAGAAATGAGATATACAGCTCAGTCAGTCACGCGCGTCAGGAAAGTGAGTGAAACACACATTTTTATCAAATAATACGTCATTAATAGCGGTTCACTTCCGCGATTTGGTACGATTGCGTTCACATCAGCAGCGAACCGTACCGGAGTTCACATGAACCGTACCGCAGACCACCCGTTTTAAGCGGACTCGGGTACGGTTCGCGGGTGCGCACCCGAGTTCGAAAGACAGCGTTCACATCATCCAAACGAACCGAACTCTGACGTCAATCGAACCCTGGTGCGCAACAAAAGTCCTGGTGTGAAAGCACCTTGACCAGCTACCATGGTCCACAACATTTACTATCTTAAACTGGATTTTCCAGCAGAAACTGATAAGCACAATATTACGTGATTAACCATCTGTATTTGTGGTGAATTTATTTACTTTCCAAATCCCTCCACAAACTCTGGCAAGCAAATTAGTCAAATGTGAATGCTTGAGGAGTCATGCTAATATGTGCAAATTTCTGTATGTTTGAGAAAAAATGGCTACAAAGATCAATTACGGATAGAAGAATTGTACATGTCATGGTCACCATGTTGTCTGCCTACAATAAAATTAGCAATCAGTTATTACTGTAAGACCATAATAGAATAAAGAGTAAAATATTTAATCCACGACAGTGTAGTACTGTAGTAACTGGTATTTTGGCTGAAAAATTTTAACATGATAATGATAACTTTTTATATTTTGTAAGGGTGACAAAACAGCAGACATACCTGCTGTACTTTGGAGTCGAGAGGCTTGATATCCAGTAATAGCTATGGGCCTCCATAACAGTAATATGATTGCATTTGTTTCCATAAGCTAAGCTAGGCATAAAGCATTGTAACACATAAATATTTTTCATATACTGCAAGGGCAAATGCTAATATTTTTGAGAATCATATTCCACAGAGATTATATTATTTAAAATGATCACATTTGAAGCGATGCGTCTTGTTCTTTCGTATATTTTATTTTAGTTTAACACGTAAATGACTATCTGTTATCTGTAAGTAAATGACAATATGGATATGTAATGAATATCTAGATATAATCCCTTTATTTGAGGGACATAATTTTTCTAAATTGTGGCCTTCAATCAGTATTTTTGTATATTTATACTGTACAGGTTTTATATATTCTTATGATATACAAGATGTTAAGCTCTTAACATATCCAAGCCTCACTTAAATTGTACACTTTCAATCAAAATCTCTGCCTTTTTTTAA